CATTCTCTCTAGTGTACTAATTATGATACCTTGTGTTATGTTACTAAAATTATAAAACAGCCCCATTATAAAATTATATTAAGGATATTAATGATTATATTGCTTTTGCTTATTAAAAGTTTCATATTTAATTGTTGTTGTAAAAGAGGTAGTAATAGAAATAGCTTTTATGTTTGTACTAATTATGTAATGTTTAATAAAAATAAAGGTTTAGAAAGGAAGTTGTGCTGTAAGCACAAAAGGGGGGACTGTGGAGGCAGGAAAAGGAAATAAGGAAATGTGTGCAGCCATCTTGGTCTTGTTAACAAGAGAGCAAGAGTCAACCTAAGTCTGTGGCCTGACAACGCGAGATCTGTAATTAGACGCTGTCTTTGCCTCTCGCCTCCATATGGAGATAAGGATAAAATGCTGACTCTAGAAGGGACCTTGAAATAAGGAGCATCTGGGTAGAACTAAATTAACTATTAGCCATTGGTGTTTGTAATGGGAAGGAGACTAATTGTTATTGTTATTATATCTAATGGATAGTATATAAACTGCTTTATAATTGCTTGTTTGTATTCGAAGATCTGCCTTGGAGGGGGGGGCTCCCTTCCCCCCATCCGAACCAGTTTTTCCCTTGCTGCAGCTCGTAATAAAACTGCCTCTGGCTACTTGTTGCTTACAAACGCACAGTAAGGACAATGTTTTCTTCCACAGGGTGTATCGTCACATGGAAATACGCATCTTACAGATCGAGTGACGTGAACGAGTTGTCTTTGTTCAGAGCTGGAAATATAGAAGTTAGAGTTACCATCTTGAATTTCTGCTTCCTGAGATACCAACTGAGATTGCGACGGTCCAGGAAATATTTCTCGGTAAGAAAATAACGGGAGTAGAATCCCCCTTACCCCAAAACTGATGGGGTACTGCTTCCACCGCACCAATCTCTATGAGACGGAGAACCTCCTGCATTAGGAGATTCTCGTGAGATGGGTCCCTGAAAAGGGACGTGGTTGGAGGTGTGGGGGGGGGGGATGGGAAAGAAAAAGGGATGGAGTATCCTGATGTTACTATCTCCTGGACCCAGTGGTCTGTGGTGATAGTAAACCATCTGTGCTGGTATGGTCTCAATCGATGATGGAATAATTTCTGTGTTCCCGGGTCGTATGTTAAAGGGATGGTTCTCAGTCCCTTGATCAGCCCATCAAACTTGCTGTCTGTTTTTCGGGTATTAGGGTTTCATCCGGTCTGCAGTCTTCGTTTTTGTTGAAGTGATCTGGGGCATTGTTGTTGCTGTTGTGGGTGGTCCTGTTGTCTGAACCTGGGCGCACCATGCCAGCAGGGTCTCTGCCTAAAGTAGGGTGTATACCGTTTGCGACGATATGGAGGCATATACATCCCTAACGTTTTCAGGGTAGCTCTAGAATCCTTGCCCGAGTGCAGAACTTGGTCTGTTTTCTCTGCAAATAGACTCTGTCTATCAAAAGGCAGGTCTTCCACCTTAGATTGTAAATCTTTCGGTACAGATGCCATTTGTAGCCACAAAGACCACCTCATAACCACTGCTGTAGCTGCGGCCCTTGCTGCTGCATCGGTGATATCCAGGGCAATTTGTAATGCCGTTGTTGAGGCCGTATAGCCTTCCTGGATAACGGATTTTAAGAGCTGCTGGTTTTTGTCAGGCAAGTTCTCTAAGACTGCTATCATCTTTGCATAATTATCAAAACCATGGTTAGACAGGTGAGCAATATAGTTTGCCATTCTCAGTATAAGTGTGACTGAAGAATAAACTTTACATCCAAAAAGATCTAAACGCTTAGATTTTTCATCAGCAGCAGCATTCCTATGTTGTGGTGTCTTTGATTTTTGCTGGGCTGCCTCCATGACTAACGAGTTCGGTTGAGGGTGCATGAACAAAAATTCTATACCCTTTGGGGAAACGAAATATTTCTTGTCCGCCTTCTTATGAGTGGGCTGAGAAGAAGCCAATGTCTGCCATATATCATTGGCAATTTCTAGGATTGCATCATCAAAAGGCAATGCCATTTTAGATTTTTGAGATTTTTGAAGGTTCTTCAACAGCTTGCGTTGTTTTTGTTGAACCTGTGCTACCTGTAGGTCCTGTGATTCTGCCACCCTTTTAAAAAGCTCTTGAAACTGACGAGCGTCATCTAATGGAGAGGAATCGCCAGGGAACACTGCATCATCCAGAGAGGAAGAAGCAACAGAGTGGTCCACTGGGGATTGTTCCTGCACTTGCAGCTGTTCTGGTATCACTAGTTGTGCTGGTTTTGGGTGCACTTGAGGGAGAGGCACATTTCCAGATGGTGTCGTGGGTTGAGTAGAAATGCCTGGTGGCGTAGGGACCTTGCAGCTGTTGTGAGAACGATACTGGTAGCGCCGTGGAGATCGGGAAGAAGAATGTCCAAAAGAGTATCGTCGCTCATTATGATAGTCACTATGGTGGCACTGATGATCACGATAATAATAAGATGATGAATATCTTGGTGAGTGTCGTCGTCTGTACTTGTGATGATATCAGGATGAAGATGCGCATGTAAGCAATATCTGCGTCTGGTGTACGAAGGTGATTGACAACGTCTGCGGTAGTGACGCGGCGATGGTGAGTATCGTTGGTAGCATCTTCTCGAAATATTGACAGCATGAGTATCATGTCTATGTGGCTCAGAGAAAGCAGAAGAAGGTGATCTGTGTGAATAGGGAGCTAATTGCTCAGGGCTTGGTGAAAACTGAAACCCTGTGCCTGCTGAATGGTCAGCTCCTGCATACAGCATTAATTGATGTGAGTTGCTGCGGTGCCAGTGAGTAATCTGGGAGCCGGCACGGTGCAGCCCTGGGAGCTGAGACACTACCGCTCCTGTGCTTGTTAATTTCAAATGCTGTGTGCTGGCAAAGAGCTTGTTGAGAAGGAGCTCAGCACCGGTGACAGTGCCGGGGTGAAGGGGCACTGAGCTTGCCCCAAAGCAATCGGTGCTGTGCTCGGTGCTGTAGCAGCTGGCACTGAGGTGACCGGTGCTGAAGTCTACAGTGCCGGGATCTGTGGCACCACAATAGCCAGCATGGCAGCAGATGGAGCTGGCATGGTCTGGGACAGTGCTGCAACAGCTGGCACCGAAGAGCTCGGGGCCAACATTGCAAAAACCGGTGCCACTGCTGCTGGTGCTGATGTCAGGAACGCCTGGTCTGAAGTACCCACTACAGCAGGTATGTGAAGGTGCCGGACAGTCAGCACCGGTGCCGATTCAGATCTTAGTGGCACCGTCATTGCCCAACCCGACTCCCTGCTAGAGGTGGGGCTGGGCTCAGAGATACTACGGCTCTTTGCATGTCACTGTTTTTGATGATGGTGCCCGGTCGATTTCTTGTCCCTACTCTTAGATGGCACAGTCGGGGTCTTTAGGGTCGGTGGGTTAATTAGTTGTGATTGCCCGTCCTGCGGCTGAAGTGCCTTGCTGTAGAGAAGCAGCTTCAGCCGCAACTCGTGGTCCTGTCTGGCTCTGCTAGTCAGTTTTTGGCAGTATGGGCATTTGTGGGGTACATGTCCCTCGCCCAGATATTTGATACAGAGTGAGTGCCCATCAGACGCTGTCATGGCATCATGGCACTCAGAGCACTTCTTGAAGCCGGAGGAAGCTGGTATTTTGAAACTGACGAAAAGCGGTTTTGGGGTTTTTTTTTTTTTAAACGGAGAAATATTCAGAGAACTCTAACTAACTAACTAAATACCTAATTAGTAATGGCTGACTAACTAACTATTTACAGAGATACAGAGATCTTGGTTAACAGTTGAGGAGAAGGGAGTTGCTCCACCTGAGACCGTTGAACGGTAAGGAGGAACTGGTGGGAAGCCAGACTCAGCGCAAACTAGCAAACAGCGTGAGCAGCACTCGCCCCACACATGAGCAGACCAGCTGGACCACAGCTGACGACTCTCTGACCTGCGCGCCGGGATGAGCCTGACACCTCAAGTGGAGCACCCACAGGGACACCACCAAAGAAGAATGTGACATTTAAAGTAGCAGGGAAAGACATCAATCCTTTAACCCTTTAGAAACAGTGAGCATCTATATATTAGGTAAAATATATAAACTCACATTAAACAATTTAGTATTACTAAGTCACTGAGCTCTAAGAATTAAACTTCTGATATAAAAACCGGTAAATTAAACTAAACACTGACTCTTGGGGGGAAAATGTCATTTGTTTCCAGTAGTACCCACAGTATGCTAAACTTTGGAGAGGATCCTTCTGCAAACCAGCATAAGTGTAAAGGTGTTTTTAAGAGCAGTATGAAATATGTTCTAATTCACATAAAAGGAAGAAAAAGACAGAGTAGTAAATAGCAAGTTCCTTGTATCAGGAGCGAATCATTTAAGTCATAAATCTAAGCAAGTTATACGCGAAAAACAAATGTAAAAAATTAATCTTAGCCAAGGCTTTAAACACATCTCAGAATCGGGTGTGAAGGACTGTTCTCTCACACATAATATATCTAACAGACCTGAAATAAGAGACCTACAGTATGGGTGTTGCTGGCCTGAGTCAGCTGACTTGAGCTTGTGGACTATGAAATTGCAATGAAGATTTTTGGGTGAAGCATGGGTCTCGAAGACTGTGCTCCAGTCCAAGCCTGAACATCCACACTGCTAATTTTAGCCCCACAGCATAAGCCAGCTAACCCCATACCACAGGGGTTGTTTGCAGTGTAGACATGACCACAGACTTTCTTCTTTCTCTACCTTCCCAGATATTCTGTAGGCCAGATTTTGATCTTCTGCAGTACTGTAAATCCAGAATAACTGTTGACTTCAATAGAGTTCCTCTGGATTTACATCACTGTAAATTACAGTGTCTCCTTATTGTAGAGGTGGGCCTGAGTTGTGAAACTTAAATCTGAATGTAAACACACACTTTCCAGATTTGGTATTCTACTGGGGGCCATCTCTGCTTCAAATTAAGAAACAGGAAGTACAGAATGAAAAAAAAATCTTACATACATGTATTCAATACCCATATTTCCTTGCTTTATTATTGCTTTACATTTCCTTTCTTTGTCTCCTCTGTAAACTGCCGTACGGAGTGCTGTAGGACTCTTATCTACTGAAGATGGCTGAGGAAGAAAAAGAAAGCAGAAATACATTAATGTTAGTACATATTGATTGCCAAATAATATTTCTGAAGTCAACTGAAGAAATCACTTAAGAGATGATTTTCAAAAGTACTAATTCTTATCTTATCAATAAAATAAACTAGGTAAATACAACTTACATGGGGCTACGATAAGGTGGGTGCATAAGTGGCTGGATAATTGTTCTCAGAGAGTAGTTATTAACAGTTGTCAATCCTGCTGGAAGGATTGTGGGGTTCCGCAGGGGTCTCTTTTGGGACCGGGTCCGTTCAATATCTTCATCAACGATTTAGATATCGGCATAGACAATACGCTTATTAAGTTTACGGATAATACCAAACTGGGAGGGGTTACAACTGCTTTGGAGAATAGGGTCATAATTCAAAATTATCTGGACAAACTGGAGAAACTTTATTAGATAAATAGGATTAAGTTTAATAAGGACAAATGCAAAGTACTTCAATCAGTTTCACACATACAGAATGGGAAGTGACTGTCTAGGAAGGAATACTGCAGAAAGGGAGCTAGGGGTCATAGTGGACTACAAGCTAAATATGAGTCAACAGTGTGACGCTGTTGCAAAAAAAAAAGCAAACCTGATTCTGGGATGCATTAACAGGAGCATTGTGAGCAAGACACGAGAAGTCATTCTTCCGCTTTATTCTAATTGAGGCCTAATCAGTGCAGAATATTGTGTCCAGTTCTGGGCACCACATTTAAAGAAAGATGTGGAGAAATTTGAGAAAGTCCAGCGAAGAGCAACAAGAATAATTAAAGGTCTAGAGAACATGAGCTATGAGTGAAGACTGGAAAAATTGGGCTTGTTTAGTTTGAAAGGAGAAGACAGAGGGGACATGAAAGCAGTTTTTAAGTATCTAAAAGGGTGTCACAAGGAGGAGGGAGACAAATTGTTTTCTTGGCCTCTGAGGATAGGACAAGAAGCAGTGGGCTTACACTGCAGCGAGGGAGGTTTAGGTTGAGCATTAGGAAAAACTTTCAGTCAGGCTAGTTAAACACTGGAATAAATTGCCTAGGGAGGCTGTGGAATCTCTATCTCCGGAGATATTTAAGAGCAGGTTCAACAGACATCTATCAGGGATGGTCTAGATGGTGCTTGGTCCTACCGTAAGGGCAGGGGACTGGACTCGATGCCTTCCTAAGATCCCTTCCAGTTTTAGTGTTCTATTATTCGAACTGATGACCTAACTACCTCTATTAAAAACTTTTGCGAAAGCAAGATGCTTATGCATATGAAAACTTTTAAAAATAATTGTGGCCAGGTCTCCTTGGTGGCAGGATAGCCTCGTGGTTAGGTCATGGAGTTTGTCGGCAGAAAAGGGATGCATAAGACTGCTGCTGGTGCCCGCATCTTAGGAACTCCAGTCCACTATATTAGTATAGTCCATATATTTGTGGATAATAACCAAGTTTTGTCGCCAAAAACTGCCTTTTGGTGACAAAACTGCGATAGAGAACACACTGCAACATGACAAAAGTCACAAAAAACACTCCATTTTAGCTACAATTTCCACCTCCATGGGGGATGTTTTTTTTCCCCCTCCTTTACTGTCAATAAAAACGTACTGTGGTCACTGTGAGACTTATTTTCCACATTTATTGGCCTCCAAGAAGTTGCCTATAATGCCCCAAGCAGATGCTGTGGTGGAAGAGTTTGACAATGAGGGGCACTGAAATCTAAGTGCTTCCTCAAATCCTTCATGATGGTAAAAGCAGTCCTGTGGGCTCCTCTGACAGCTTGAATGTCTGGCTGCTCAAACACTGCAGCCAAGCATTGTGCCTCAGTGCTCCATCTTGAGGAAACATTTCACCCTTAGATTCACACAAATTACACAAAATGCAGTGCATTGCTATAACCATGGAAATATTCTCTTCTATAAATTCTAGTCTGCCATAGAGATGCCTCTATCTCTCCTTCAGTCTACCAAAGGCACACTTCACTACCATGCAGCATGAGCTCAGCCTGTTAAAATGTTCCTTACTGCTGTCTGGGTGCCAGTATAAGGTCTCATGAGCCAGAGCTGTAAGGGGTAAACTGGGTCTCCCAGGATTACTATGGGCATTTCCATATCCTTCACTATAATCCTGTGGTATGCCTAGTGCAAATCTCAGGAATCTCCTCTGGGAAAGTTGGATTAGGACATGAAAATAGTGACCCTGAAGGTCGAAGGCTGCCAACCAGTCCCCTTGTGGCAATGCGAGAATAATGGAGAGTGTGACCATGCAGAAATGCTTCAACTTGACAAATCTGTTCAGTCTGTGCAGATCAAGTATGGGACTCCAATCTCCTAATTTCTTTTGAGTTGGAAAATAGCAGGAGCAGGACCCTTTTCCCCTGTGTTGGAATAGGACCAGTTCGATGGCTTCCTGATCAAGCAGGTGGAGTGAAATTGTCTCTCATGGGAAAGGTCCCTGAGAAAGGATGGGGGGAGGCTGGGTAGGTAGTCAGGAGAAGAAAGAGATAGTGTAACGAGACAGGATGATGTCTAGAACCCATCTATCCGAGGCAATAGCCACCCAATGGTGGTAATATGGGCGGAGAGTCTTTGAAAATGTGGTCAGTCAAGACTGGCACTAGAACCTTTGGGGTGTTTGAAGCCCTTGACCAAGCCTTGAAATGTGCTTGTTCAGTGCAGGTTGTTGAAGCACCAATCCTGATGGTTTGCACTGGCGTTGAGGGTGTGGAAGCAGGACTAAGGGAAAGGGGATTTGGGTGGCCATTTCAGGGTTTGTCAGTAGCAGAGCAAGAGTCTGGGTCACTCTGACTCCTGCTAACGCGAGAGCCAGAAGAGACGCTGTGTTCGCTTTTCTGTCTCTCTCACATTGATAAGAGTGGAATGCTTACCTCAGTGAGAACCTTGAGATAAGACAGTGTCCGATGGGAACTGAATGGGCAGGGAAGTAATTGTTTAATGTTATATGTAACAGAAAGATATATATATTGGCTTTTAATTGTTTTGTATTTGAAGATCCGCTTATGGATGTCTTCCCTTGCAATATAGCTCGAATAAACTGCCTCTGGCTACTTGTTGCTTAAACACAACACAGAGTGAAGGCTCATTTTCTTCTACAAGGGTAAAAGCTATTTCTGGGCTGGTTATCATCAGCTCTTTGTTGAATATACAACAGATAACAGGGTCACTGGTAAGGCTGACAATCGTATTAGTATCTTCTACTAGCTGGTGTGTGGGTGCCAAGAGTGTGTAATGTGGAGTATGAACGCTTCATTGTGTTAAGCACCCCATTTGTCTTATCGGCAAACAATTTTTTGCCATCAGATGGCAAGTCCTCCACCATGGACTTGATGTTGCATGGAAAGATAGTTGGTTAAAATCAGGAGGTGCATCGCATAACAACTGTGGTTTCAGAGTTGATCGTGCTGCTGTAAGGCAGTATAGGAGATGACCTGTTGTGACGGCGCGTTGGGGGTTCCCCGTCTCCTGCACCCCGAAATGGCACAAACAGACTGCACCAGCCAGTGGAATTGAGGGTGGTTTATTGCTCCTCCAGCACAGCGCAGCACAGATGTAATCTGGTTACAGGAACTGGGGCTAAGAGGCCTCAGTGCTCCCCCTTTGAGATAGGGGAGTCCCAGCCCCCTCCCCAGCTCCTTATACCCTGTCTTCCAGCGAGGAACTAACTAACCCTCTTCCAGCTCTGACCCCCCAGCCAGGGCAGCATTCCACCTTCCTTTGTTCCTCTCCATGGGGGGTGTCTGGCCACTGGTTCAACAAGTTTGGCATTACCTCTGCCTAGTGAGGCTTTCCCTGCTGGGTCTTGCTCCAGACAGCAGGGGTCACCACATCCCAGCAAGTACCCCCACTACGTCACACCTGTCCCTCAGAGACTATAGCTCTGAACTGTGGCCTCCAGGGCAGCATTCCACCTTCCTTTGTTCCTCTCCATGGGGGGTGTCTGGCCACTGGTTCAACAAGTTTGGCATTACCTCTGCCTAGTGAGGCTTTCCCTGCTGGGTCTTGCTCCAGACAGCAGGGGTCACCACATCCCAGCAAGTACCCCCACTACGTCACACCTGTCCCTCAGAGACTATAGCTCTGAACTGTGGCCTCTGCCTCCAGTATGTTGTTCACAAATTCCATTAGCTTTGATATAGTTTCTAAAATAGTATTTGGCCAACCAGGCTGAATAGTTTGAAAACCTAATTGCAGAATGAACAAGGTATAGGCTTTTCGGCCAAAGAGTTCTAGCTTCTTACTGTCCTTGTCAACTGAAGTAGTGCAGAAATGCTGCTGTTTTGCATGCTGAGTGCGAGTCCGACTTCCACCACGAGTGAATTAGGTGTAAGTTGAGAAGAGAGAAACTCAGAGCCCTTCACTGGAATGTAATATTTCCTGTTAGCCCCCTTGCAGGTGGGAGGTACAGATTCAAGGGTCTGCCAGACTGTATTGGCCAGATCCATAAAAGCTTAGTTGATGGGAAGTGCTACCTTGGCAGAGGGTGTAGCCTGCAGGATGTCCATTACTTCATAATGAAGCTCAAATACTTCTTCAGTGGCAATTTAAGTTCCACTGCTACTCACCTGAACAGCTCAGAGAAGTGGGTAAAATCATCAGCCACTGATAGTGGTGGTGGCATAACTGCTACATCCAGCAAGGATGGGGAATTGTTTTGGGGAGAGGTGTCCGGGGCCGGTTCCTCCGAAAACTGTGTAGGGTAAATTGAGGCAGCCCATGGTATCTTGCTGAGAACTGACAATCTCAAATCTGAAAGTATCAGGCCAAGCCTGAGAAGCATACAGTACAGCAGTGACCCTCGTTCCCCTGCCAACCACATTCCAAAAGGGCCTCACTTTGATAAAGCCAGTACCAAACAACCAAACAACTGCATGGGATTGTTTTTCATTATCTGCTTTGTTCCTAGAAAATAAGCTTGGATCCCAAAGATCGCGCCAAGGCAATACCGCCCCCCACAGGAGACGCATTATATTTCCAGCCAACAAAATG